AGAAAAATGGAATAAACATCCCAGAGAAGCTGCAGGGCCGCAAGAATCCTCCTCTCTCCAACCGATCCAGACTAAATTCTGCTTTTTTTTATAGCAAGGACAAAGGCCAGGCTGCCCCAGGAGCTCCTGGCAACCAACCCTGATAACCTGGAGGAGAAAAAAGCACAGGATCTTATCAGCAGCAGAGAAAAAATAAAAAAAAAAAAACACGGATCTTATCAGCACCAGAGGGCTGTGCTGGCAAAAACAAGTCTGAGCCGTGCCCAATTCCCTTCCCCTGGCTGAGTCACCCCAGGGTTCATTTTCTGCCCCTGTGGCTTTGGAAGTGGGTTATTCCCAGGCTGAGTGACTCACAGTGGCCTGGAATTCTCTTTTCTCTCTTTAGGAGCTCCAGGAAAAATTATGGATTCTGTCATTCTGCCCATCCATCCACCTGGATCCAACCTCCCGCCAGCACTAAAATTTTATTTATCACTTTAATACCCCTCCCATGGGTGTTGAAGTGTTAAACAAAATTTTAGTGGGAGCAGGAGGTCATTCCTGCCCAGAGCTGCTGGTGATTCCTCTCCTGATTTTCTTGGTTTTGAAGGAGATTTTATATTGGGAGAATTGGCTTTTTCCAAACGAAAATCCGAAAATCCTGACACCCCAACCCAAATCCATGCAGAATTCCTGGAGCAATCCTGACGCTCAAAGGAATTCCAGATTGCCATGGCATGGAGGGATAAGTGAGTCACAGTGGCCTGGAATTCTCTTTTCTCTATTTAAGAGCTCCGGGAAAAATTATGGATTCTGTCATTCTGCCCATCCATCCACCTGGGGAACCTCTGAGCCCATGGGATGGGTGTTAAAGTGTTAAATAAAATTTTAGTGGGAGCAGGATGTTGTCCCTGCCCTGGTGATTTCTCTCCTGGTTTTCTTGGTTGTCCCTGCCCTGATTTTCTTGATTTTCCTCTCCTGATTTTCTTGGTTTTGATATTGGGAAAGTTGCCTTTTTTCCAAGTGAAAATCCTGACACCCCACTCCAGATTCATTCAGATTTCCTGGAATTCTCTTTTCTCTATTTAAGAGCTCCGGGAAAAATTATGGATCCTGTCATGCTGCCCATCCATCCACCTGGGGAACCTCTGAGCCCATGGGAAAGAAGCTTGGAGGGGTATAAATAAAATTTTAGTGCTGGCAGGAGGTTTTCCCTGCCCTGGTGATTCCTCTCCTGATTTTATTGGTTTGATATTGGAAAATTGGCTTTTCCCAAGTAAAAATCCCAACGCTCCTCCGGATCCATGCAGAATTCCTGGAGCAATCCTGGCCCTCGAGGGAATTGCCCGGGATGGGGGGCAGGGGGGGAAAGGGCAGCACAGACTGAGGGGGCTGGAGGAGTTCAGGGAGGATTTTTGGGATGTGGAACGTGCTTGGGATCATTTCCCTGATGAGTTCCGTGGCCCTTTGGCTCTGCTGGAATGTGTCTGAGGGGATGGGAACTGGAGAGGGAGAGCATAAACAGGGCTCTGACAGGGGCAGAGATCTGAGGGCTCAAATATCCCCTGGCAGGGAAGGCTGGAAAAAGCTCCCCACCTTTCACCAAATTATTATTATAATTATCATTATAAATCTCTAAATATTTCTATTTTAATTATAAAACTCTATATATCTATATTATAAATAGAAATGATTATTACATAATATAGAAATATATATTATATAAATATATACAGTATAAATATATACACATATATAATATAATATAATAGTATAGTATAGTATAGTATATAAATTCATATTAAATATAATTAATACATATTAATGTATTAAATGTATTACATCAACATATTAAATATATTATATTAATATATAAATATATTAATGTATTATATTAATTTATTAATATATATTAAACATATGAACAGGATTATAGAAATATATAAATAGATAATATAAATATATTATCTATTTATATTTTAAATAGAAATTACTATAAAGAAATGTAAATATATAATATATAAGCATATAATACAGCAAAATACATATACATATAATATAAATATACTATTTATATATTTATATTTATATAAACATATAATATAAATATATATTTATATTTCAAATGTAAATGAATACAGATAAATGTAAATATATAATGTATAAACATACAGTATAGAAATAAATGCATGCACATATAAATATATTATTTATATTTATATATTTATATAAACATAAAAATATGTAATATAGATATATTATATATTTATATTTCATAAATAAATACAGATAAATGTAAGTATACAGTATGTAAACATATAATATAGAAATAAATACATACACATATAATATAAATATATTTTTATATTTATATAAATTATAATTATAATTATATATTCCTAATTCTCCATGAACCCATCATTTTGTCCCAGTGGGAGACAACAGGGACCAGAGTAAAAAAGGTGAATTTCCTCCACTGCGCACCAAGCAAGGAATAATTAATTCCCTCTCAAGGTGGAATTGTGTCCTGTGGCTTGGCAGGAGGGCAGTTTATGCCCCGGGCTTTATCCGGAGCTTTATCGGTTTATACGATCAGGTGTGAATTAACTCCGGGGGGAAGAAGGGCAGGAAAAGCGCCAGGAACAGCGGGACAAACAACCCTGAAGGACAACTCCCAACAAAAACAACAGAAACCCAACAAAACCCTCCCTGGAAATGGCAGCCACTCCTATTTCCACTGCTGGCTCGCCCCATGGACATTGTTCTCCTTCCTCTGCTGGGAAAGGACCAAAACTGGGCAAAAAAATAAAGAGGAAAAGAGGAAATTGTTGGAGTGGAGTAATGCTGAATGTGAAATTCTGATTTACTGCTCAAATCCCTGCTGGAAAACAGGGCCAGGGGTCCATGGACATTGTTCTTCTTCCTCTGCATTTTCCTGAGGTGGGAAAGCACCAAAACTGGGGGGAAAAAAAAGAGGAAAAATAGCAAATTCTTGTCGTGGAGTAATGCTGGTGTAGGGAGGGAAATCTGATAGTTTCTCAGAAACCAAATTTTCCTTTGGAGGGGTTGGGAAGGACAAGAAATTCTGTTTTACTGCTCAAATGCCTGCTGGAAAACAGGGCCAGGGGTTTATGGACATTGTTCTCCTCCTTGGTCTGCATTTTCCTGAGGTGGGAAAGCACCAAAATTGGGGTAAAAAGAAGGGAAAAAGAGCAAATTCTTGTTCTGGAGTGAGCAATGCTGATGTGGGGAGAGAAATCTGATAGTTTATCCAAAATGTCTCCTTTGGAAGGGTTGGGAAGGAGGAGAAATTCTGATTTACTGCTCAAATCCCTGCTGGAAAACAGGGCCAGGGGTCCCTGGACATTGTTCTTCTTCCTCTGGATTTTCCCGAGGTGGGAAAGAACCAAAAACTGGGGGGGAAAGAGGAAAAAGAGAAAAATCTTGTTCTGGAGTGAGCAATGCTGATGTGGGGAGAGAAATCTGATATTTTCTCAGAAACCAAAGTCTCCTGTGGAGGGGTTGGAAGGGAGGAGAAATTCTGTTTTACTGCTCAAAACAGGGCCAGGGCTCCATGGACATTGTTCTCCTCTTTCCTCTGGATTTTCCTGAGGTGGGAAAGCACCAAAAAGTGGGTGGAAAAAAAGAGGAAAAAAGCAAATTCTTGCCGTGCAGTAATGCTGGTGCAGGGAGGGAAATCTGATGGTTTCTTGGAAGTCAAAGTCTGTTTTGGAGGGGTTGGAGGGGAGGAGAAATTCTGTTTTAGTGCTCAAATCCCTGCTGGAAAACAGGGCCAGGGGTTATGGAATTGATTTGAGTGTTTGCTGCAGCTTGGGTCGATGTTTGGGAGGGATTTTTTTGGGAAAAAGTGTCCCCAGGACAGAGTGGGGAGCAAAAAAACACTCCCAGAAATACACCAGGAATAGGGGGGGAACCCCCAAATTCACCTTTATTTACCCCAAATCATGGGGGGGGGAGTGTCAGAAACACATCAGGGGCATGGAGGGACCCCCCAAATTCAGGTTTTGATGCTGAAACCCCCAAACTCAGCCTTATTTACCCCAAATAACAGAGGGGAGATAAAGCGTGCGGGGGGGTGGGGGGGGGGGGTAAAAATACCACCGAGGTGGTGAGAACGGTCCCAGAAACAGAGCAGGAACAGGGAGGGAACCCCAAATTCAAATCCCCCCAATTTGGGAACCCCAAATTTGATGCTGAACCCCCAAATTCACCAATTCACCCTTATTTACCCCAAATAACAGAGGGGAGTGTGTGCAGGGGGGGGTGAAAATACCATCCAAGGGGCTGAGGGAGCCCCTCAGAAGCAGCTGAAGGATTCCAGGGGATGGAATCAGCATAAAAGGGAAAATCCTGCTCAGTCACCCCCAGTTTCATCCGTACCCCAAATCCGCCCTAATTAACCCAAGTTAATAGGGGAGAGTTCACTGGGGGGGCTGAGGGAGGGCAATGGAGGCGCCCCCAGATTTCATTTCTCACAACGTGGATGGGGAGCAGGATTCTGAGGAAAGAGGTGAAGCCTCCCCACCCCTCAGGGCCCCTCGGGGCCGCTCCCAGTGCTCCCAGTACAACGCGGCCTGTCCCAAACTGGGAACAACACCCCCGTGCCCCCCCCCACCCTGGGAACATGACATCGTGTTCCGCGCTCGCCATTGGCCAGAGCCGCCGCCCATTCTCGCTCCCCATTGGCCCCTCCAGCTGTCACTCCACCCCCGTCCGTCCCGCCCCCGCTGAACACGCGCTGCTTTCCTTCACACGCTGTCCACGCTCCCCGGGCGCTGCTCTGATTGGTCAGTGCTGCCGTAAACAAGGCAGCGGCAGCCAATCAGCGCGCTGATCACGCGAGCAGCACGCCCGGCCACGCGCCCTCAGCGTGGCGGCCCCGGGAGCAACAGGCGCGGGCGGGGGTAGGCGGGGACCCCGAGCCTATAAAAGGTGGAGACAGCAGCAGCTCCCTCAGAGCGCTGAGGTCCCGGGGCAAGGAGCTCCTGTGGGAACTTCGCAGCGTCTCTCTAAACAAAGCCTCCGCTCCCTTTTCGTTTTTTTTTTTTTTTTGCCTCGGGCGGATTTTGTTGCCCTACAGGGATAAAACCCTGCAGCCTTTACTTGATCAAACCGTTCCTCCTCGTCCTACCCCAGCCATGGTGATGTTCAAGAAGGTGAAAAACTTCGCTGTGGCCTTCAGCGAGCCCGACAAGGTTTACTTCAGCGGGGACAAGGTGGCCGGGCGAGTGCTGGTGGAGGTGGCCGAGGTGACCCGTGTCACCGCCGTCAAGGTGCTGGCGTGTGGCGTGGCTAGGGTGACCTGGGCCAAGGGCCCGGCCCAGTGCCGGCAGGAGATGGAGTACCTGCGCTTCGAGGACGTGCTGGCCCTTGAGGAGCAGCCCACAGGTGAGGCCATGGGGCTGGAAAAAGGGTGAGGGTGGCTTTAAACATTGGTTTATAAACCCAACCCAATTTAGGGTTTGGTCACAGAAGGGGTGTGGTGAGGCTGAATGGGGTAGGGGGTTTGGGAAGGCCACCCTCAGAATCCTTGATCACCAGCGCAGCCTTAACGCTGTGTCTGGAGTTTGGGAAAAATAACCAAATCTAGGAAAAGTTAACAACTTGGCCAAGCCAAGTGGAAGTTTAGGAGCTGAAGGACAAAATCAGAGCCTGCGGAGCTGCTGTGGTGTGTTCTGACTCCACAGGGGTTGGGAACAGTGGTGGCACGGCCAGGGCCGGGCACAGGATCACACCCTGGGGCTGGAGCTGGGAGATAAAGGGGAAACTGGAGCTGGGGTGGAGCCAGCGGGACGCTCAGCTCTGCCCCGGGGTGTTGGTGAGGTGCAGGCAGAGAACACGGGGTTCCCGGGGTGTGCACAGGGGTTACCCAACAGCCTCGGAGCTCAGGATCACCCTGATGATTTCCCTGCCCTTTTCCTCCTCCAGATGACGACGGCTCAGTCATCCTGAGACCCGGCAACAAGTACGAGTACAAATTCGGCTTCGAGCTGCCCCAGGGGTGAGTATGAGGCAGCAGCTGCCACTGGGGTTGAATCAAACTGGAATTAAACTGGAATTAAACTGGGAAATCCATATTTTGGTTCTGGAGTGACCCCCTGTTTGTCTCCAGGCCGCTGGGCACCACATTCAAAGGGAAATACGGCTCTGTGGATTACTGGGTGCAGGCGTCTCTGGAGCGCCCGTCCTGCCCCGCTCAGCTGATCAAGAAACGCTTCGAGGTGATGGATCCTGTGGATGTCAACACCCCAGAACTGCTGGTGAGCCCCTTTTCTCTTTCGAAGCTGGTGAGAAAAGCCCTTGGAGAGGGTCAGCCCGAGCCCGTGGTGGCTTTAATCAGATCTGAGCGGGATTAAGGGTGGGATTAAGGAGGTGTGGATAATTCCAGAAACTGACACTGGGTGGGGCGTGTTGGGCACTCCAGGAGAATTCGAGGCTCGGTTGCAAAAAGGGGAAGGAAAAAAGGAGGAAGGAAGGGTTGGAAGGACAAGATGGGGCCAGTGTTTGACTGTTCCTTCTCTCGCCACAGTCTCCAGTTGCAGCCAAAAAGGAGAAGAAAGTGTCGTGCATGTTCATCCCCGATGGCCGCGTGTCTGTCAGCGCCCAGATCGACAGGAAAGGCTTCTGTGAAGGTGAGGATTGCTGGGAACAGGGAGCTGCAGTGGGGGAACCTTGGGGAAACCCCAAACACCTTTAACAATTGGTCATTCCCTTGGCAGGTGACGAGATCTGCATCAACGCCGACTTCGAGAACACCTGCTCGCGCATTGTGGTGCCCAAGGCGGCCATCGTGGCCAAGCACACCTACCTGGCCAACGGGCAGACCAAGGTGTTCTCCCAGAAACTCTCCTGTGTCCGTGGCAACCACATCATCTCGGGCACCTCCGAGTCGTGGCGTGGCAAAACCATCCGTGTGAGGAAGCTGAAGCCTTCCATCCTGGGCTGCAACATCCTGAGGGTGGAATATTTCCTGCAGGTGAGTTCTCGTTTTCCTCATCTGGGGGTTGTTGTCATTCTGGGGTTTTGCGCTACAGTTTCTGAATTTGGCTTTTTTTGTTTCAGATTTATGTCAGCGTTCCAGGCTCCAAGAAGATCATCCTGGAGCTGCCCCTGGTGATCGGGAGCCGCTCTGGCATCGGCAGCCGCAGCTCCAGCATGGCCAGTCAGACCAGTTCCGAGATGAGCTGGGTGGACCTGAACCTGCCCGATGCTCCCGAGGGTGAGCGGGGTGGGCTGCCCGGGCTGGGGTCCCCTCTCCGGAGCGCGTGGAACCCCTCTGTGATCTCCCAGCTGAGCTCATCAGCGTCTCCTTGCCTCCCCACAGCTCCCCCGTGCTACCTGGACATCGTGCCCGAGGATCACCGCCTGGAGAGCCCCACCACGCCCCTGCTGGACGATCCCGACGGCTTCGACAGCCCCATCTTCATGTACGCGCCCGAGTTCAAGTTCATGCCTCCCCCCACCTACACGGAGGTGAGCACGGCAGCGGCGCCGGGGGAGCCGGGAGCAGGTGGGGCCGGGCTCACCTGTGCGGGCTCCTCACCCTCCTGCTGCTCGCAGGTGGATCCCTGCGTGCCCAACAACAACAACAACAACAACAACAACATCATCCAGTGAGCTCCGCACCCGCACCCGGGGCTCTGACTGCACAGCACATCTGGAAAAGGGAAAAATGTCACATTCCTGAGGAGCTGCTGCGGAATTCCTGCGTTTCCCGAGGGATTCCTGCATTTCCCGAGGGATTCCTGCATTTCCCGAGGGATTCCTGCAGCCCCAGGAGCTGCTGCGCTCCCAGGAATCGCCGCATTCCCGAGGAGTTCCTGCGTTCCCCACCTCAAATCTCGAGGGACAAAAGCCCCTCCAGGACTGTGGGGAGACAGAGCAGATGCAGCTGGGAGATCTCGGCTGTCGCGGTGCTCGTCCTGTCGCGACAGGGACAGGCAGGGAGTTGTGGTTTTTAATTAATTCCCGCTTCATTTCGTGACGCTGGGCGCTCCTGCCGAGGGGAGGAGGGGGCGCTGTGACATCGTGAATCCGTCCTGTCGCGACACAAAGTCGGTGTCACGACCTTTTGTACTCTGGTTTTGTACATAGTGTATCGGGGAGGGGCGGGGGGAAGCACGAAAATGCAAATTTTGTACTTTTACTGGCCCCTGGGGGGCGAAATTTGTAATAAAGTTGTAATAAATAAGTGAAATTATTTTCTTGTTTTGTGTCTTTTCTCAGAGGTGGGAGAAAAGCAGGAACCCCCTTGGAGTCAGGATAGAAAGTATTTCTTTTCCCGATTTTTGTTTTGTTGTTTTTTGTAGAGGGGCTTTTGGGGTTTTTTTCTGGAAGCAGAGCTGGAGGGATTTCTAGTTTTTTTCCAGACGGGAAAAGCAAAAAAGCTGAGCAAAAAAATAATAAAAGGAGGGGAAACTGAGGCACAGAGAGGTTAAAACAGAGTGGGGAAACTGAGGCAGGAACTCCTTTTCCTGCCTTTTTTTCTGGGGGCATTTTTGAGGTTTCCCTGGCAGCAGCCCTGGGAGGATTTCCTGGATTTTTCAGGGAAAAAAGCAAAAAAAAAAAAAAAAAAAAAATAGTACAAGGAAGGGAAACTGAGGCACAGAGAAGTTAAAACTGGAGGGGTGCAGAATGGGGAAACTGAGGCAGGAACTGCTTTTCCTTCTTTTTTCTTGGGAGGATTCTGGGAGGTTTTCCTGGTTTTTCCAGGGAAAAAAAAAAAAAGCAAAAAAGCTGAGGAAAAAAAAAAAAAAATTCAAAGAGGGGAAACTGAGGCACAGAGAGATTGAAAGAAGCTGGGGGTGCAGAGTGGGGAAACTGAGGCAGGAACTGCTGTTCCTTTTTTTGTTTTTTTTTTTGTTTTTTTTTTTTTTTGAGAGCAGCTCTGGGGTGGTTTCCTGTTCTTTTCAGGGGAAAAAGAAAAAAGAAAAAAAAGCTGAGCAAAAAAATAATATAAGGAAGGGAAACTGAGGCACGGAGAGATGGAAACAGAGTGGGGAAACTGAGGCAGGAACTGCTTTTGTTGCCTTTTTTTCTAGGGGGGGCTTCTAGGAAGTTTTCCTACTTTTTCTAGGGAGAAAAAAAGCAAAAAAGCTGAGCAGAAAATAGGACAAGGAGGGGAAACTGAGGCAGAGAGATTAAATAGGCAGAATGGGGAAACTGAGGCAGGAACTGCTTTTCCTGCCTTTTTTCCTGGGGTTTTCCTTGTTTTTCCAGGGGGGAAAAAAGCAAAAAAGCTGAGGAAAAAAAAAAAAGGAGGGGAAATTGAGGCAGAGAGAAATTAAAACAGACAGAGAGGCGCAGAATGGGGAAACTGAGGCAGGAATTGCTTTTGCTTTTTTCTGGAGTTTTCCTGTTTTTTCCAGAGGAAAAAAAAGGCAAAAAAGCAGACCAGAAAAACAGCCCAAAGAAGGGAAACTGAGGCACAGAGAGATTGGATAACTGAGTGGGGAAACTGAGGCAGGAACTGCTTTTGCTGCCTTTTTCTGAGATTTTCCTTGTTTTTCCAGGGAAAAAAGGCAAAAAATCCGAGCAGAAAAACAGCCCAAGAACGGGGAAACTGAGGCACAGAGAGATTAAAACCGGGGGGGGGTGCAGAGTGGGGAAACTGAGGCAGGAACTGCTTTTCCTGCCATTTTCTGAGATTTTCCTTGTTTTTCCAGGGAAAAAAGGCAAAAAATCCGAGCAGAAAAACAGCCCAAAGAAGGGAAACTGAGGCACGCAGAGGTTGGAAAACGGAGTGGGGAAACTGAGGCAGGCAGGGCAGCATTCCTGATTTTCCAGCCTTTTTTGGCCCTGCCGCTGGAGCAGCACCCCAGGCTCAATTTTGGGATGTGGGTGAAAGGTTCTGCTGTCCAAAAACAAGGCCACGACCTTGGCTTGGCTCCCCACCCTCTCTCCCATTTGGAGCCCCCCCAAAATCGCTGGGGCTGGCCCCCTCCTGGTTTTATCCCGTTTTTTTTTTTTTTTATGGAATTTGAGCCATTTTGGACAATGGCCAAGGAGGGAAAAGGTCGCCCTGCCCTGGGCCAGATGGGCTGGGCTGAGGGAAAGGGGAGGCACAGACAGCACCAAAAATAGAGAAACGCGCCCAGAAAACCCCAAAAAATTAGAGAGAAACTCCCACAGCCACCCCAAAAAAAATTAGGGAGAAATTCCCAGTCCCCTACTGGCCCCCCCCACCCCTGAAATTATTGATTTTTCCCCAGAAATTGTTCATTTTCCCCCCTGGAATTGTTGTTTTTTTCCCCCCAAAATTGCTGTTTTCCCCCATGAAATGGTTGATTTCCGCCCCCCCCCCCCCACTAAATTGTTGATTTTCCCCTCCTAAAATCGTTTATTTTCCCCCCATGGAATTGTTGATTTTTCCCCCCCTAAAAATATTGATTTTCTCCCCTGAAATTGTTGATTTTTTTCCCTGAAACTGTTCATTTTCCCCCCTGAAATTGTTCACTTTTCCCCCCCGAAACTGCTGATTTTTCCCCCCTGAAATTGTTGATTTTTCACCCTTAAAATTGTTACTTTTTCTTTCTGAAATTGTTGATTTTTTTCCCCCCCTGAAACTGTTGATTTTTCACACTGGAATTGTTGATTTTTTCCTCCCTAAAATTGTTGATTTTCTCCCCTGAAATTGTTGATTTTTCCCCCCTAAAATTGCTGATTTTTCCTTCTGAAATTGCTGATTTTTCCCCCTTAAAATTGTTCATTTTTCCTCCCCGAAACTGTTCATTTTCCCCCCTGAAATCGTTGATTTTCCCTCCCTGAAAAAGCTTATTTTTCCCTCCTGAAATTGCTGATTTTTCCTCCCTAAAATTGCTGATTTTCCCCCCTAAAATTGCTGATTTTCCCCCCTAAAATTGTTGTTTTTTCCCCCCTAAAATGCTTCACCCCAGGGGCTGAACTCTGCCCCCCCCCTCCCCATTTTACAGCCCTAATTAAACCAATTAAGGCCATAAACCTCCCTCATTATTCCTGTGGGTGCCAGGGCAGCTCTGGGGGTTCAGCCCGACCCTCCCTGGGGTTTTTTGGGGTTTTTGGAACTCCAGAATTTCCAAACTGGGTTAAACTGGGAGCAGGGACCCTCAGAAATGGGGAAACTGAGGCACGGACATGGGGGTGACAAAACCCAAAGGATTTGGGCACTTTCCTCTACCCCAAATCCTTCTCCAGGCTTGGGGGAACAAATCCCACCCCCAAAATTAAAGATTTTTCCTTGGAAAAAAGGGGGAAAAAAAAAAAAAAAAGGATAAAAATGGTTTGGAAGCTGAGAATCGCTGGAACGTTCGCGGCCACAAACAGGAACTGGAGCATGTGACAGTGGTGTGAGCAGCCCTGAGGCACAAACAAACCCCAGGGTGACACAAACCCACTCCTTCCTGCTAAAAAACCCAACACTGAACTTCCCCAAAACTCCTCACCCTCACCCCAAAATATTTATCCCCATTAAAAAGATCCCCCCCCCCCTAAAAAAAGCTGTGTCCCCCCACCCATCATGTCTCTTCCTCCCAAAAAAATCCACATTTTCTCAACCCAAAAAGTCATCCCTGAGAAAAACAAATCGCTTTTTCCTCCCCCAAAATCCACTTTTTCACTTAAAACCCCTACAATGTTATTTAAAAAATAAACCTCGCCCATCCAAAGAACACCTCCCCCACAATAAATCAAAGTTTTCTCCCTCAAAAATGCACATTCCACCCAAAACGTATTTTTTCCTTCCCCAAAAATACATTTTTTCCCCCCCAAAAAAAAGACATCTTGACCCACAAGAAGTTACATTTCCCTCCCCAAAATTACACTTTTACTCCCCAAAAATCCATCTTGCCACCCCAAAAAATACCCTTTTCCCCCAAAAAAACTTGGATGTCCCCAAAAGAACTTTTTCCACCCAAAAAATTACCACTTCCCCTTCCACATAAAACTTTTCCTTCTCAAATACTTTTCTCCTTCTTTATAAAAACACATTTTCCACCTCAAAAAAGCCACATTTCAGCCCCCCCCAAAAGTCTTTTCCCCATTTTAATTCCTCTTAGCCCCTGGTAACCCCCTTATCCAACCCCCCCGTGCTAAAAAACACCAAAAGCGGAGCCAGAAATACCAAAAATATTTTTAAATTCAAACGAAATTCACCCAAAAAAGCCCCAAAATTTGAGGGGGTCCCGCCCCCCCCCCCCCCCCCCGGGCCTGGAGCGCCGGCGCCACCTGGTGGTGACAAAGGGGATGACAGGACAAGGGGGACCCCAAGGGGGGAACGGGGATCCCAATGTCACCACAATGTCCCCAAGGGGACCCCAATGTCACCTCAGTGTCCCCAAGGAGAGGACAGAGACCTCAATGTCACCCCAATGTCCTCAAGGGGACCCCAATGTCACCACAATGTCCCCAAGGGGATAACAGGGACCCCAATGTCACCACAATGTCTCCAAGGGGGGAACAGGGACCCCAATGTCACCCCACTGGCCCCAGGGGGACCCCAATGTTTCTAAGGGGGGCACAGGGACCCCAATGTCCCCAAGGGGGGTACAGGGACCCCAGTGTCACCCCAATGTCCCCAAGGGAGGAACAGGGACCCCAATGGGGTGTGCCCCCTGTCGGGGTGCCCAGTTTTGGGGTCAGAGCCCATTTTGGGGTGCCCATTTTGGGGTCAGTGCCCGCTTAAAAGTCAGTACCCATTCAGGGTGCCCATTTTTGGGGTCAGTACCCATTTTGGGGCGCCCATCTTGGGTTCAATGCCCCTTTTGGGGTCAGTACCCCTTTTGGGGTGTCCATTTTTGGGATCAGTGCCCATTTTTTGGGGTTCCATGCCCCTTTTGGGGTCAGTACCCCTTTTGGGGTGTCCATTTTTGGGATCAGTGCCCATTTTTTGGGGTTCCATGCCCCTTTTGGGGTCAGTACCCCTTTTGGGGTGTCCATTTTTGGGATCAGTGCCCATTTTTTGGGGTTCAATGTCCCTTTTGGGGTCAGTACACGGCCTCGTCGCCGTTGTCGTCGCTGTCGGGCCCGAAGCTCTCCCCGTTGTCGAAGTAGGACAGCACGTAGTCGGTCTCCTGAGGGGACAAAGGGGACACGGGTGGCACCTGGGGACACCCCTGAGCACCCCCAAACCCCCCAGGTCCCCCCTTTGTCACCTCCTCGTGCTCCTCCTCATCGTACTCCTCCTCCTCCTCCTCCTTTCCTTCTTCTTCCTCCTCCTTCTCCTCCTCCTCCTCGGATGTCACCTCCTCCTCCTTCTTCTCCAGGCTCTGGGGGGACAAAAAAAACGCCAAATTCACCCACTGGGGACACCCCCTGTGGAATTCACATTTTCTGCAAAAATCCCTTCGATTTTCCCTGAAAAAATTCCAGAATTTCTCTCTTGGGAGGCTGAGAAACCTCAGAAAAATGAAAACAATTTTTATCTCATTTGCTTCTCCTGTGTTTTGCTCACGTGGAAGAAGTTTGGATGGTTTGATCAGATTTCTGCTCTAAGTTGTTTTGATTAATCATCAATTAGTGCCAAATTGTGCCAAGACTCTGAAAAGAGTCACAAGTTTTCATCATTATCTTTTTCATTACTACATTTTTCATTATTATATTTTTCTTTCCATTATTATCTTTTTCTACTTGACTTTTCAGTAAGTATCTTTTCTGCTTTCTTTACTATAGTATTGCATTTTAATAAACAGTGTTTGAAAATATATTATTATAAAGTAATAAATAGTATTTTAAAATCTACTATTATAAAGTAATAAATAGTATTTTAAAATATGATATAGTATAATAAAGGAATAAATAATACTTTTAAATAGAACATAGTATAATAAAGTAATAGATAGTATTTTAAAATAGAATGTAGTATAATGAAGTAATAAATAGTGCTTTAAAATATAATATAGTATAATAAAGTAATAGTATTTTAAAATAGAATCTAGTATTATAAAGTAATAGTATTTTTAAATATAATGTAGTATAAGAAAGGAATAAATAATACTTTTAAATAGAATATAGTATAATAAAGTAATAGATAGCATTTTAAAATAGAATATAGTATTATAAAGTAATAAATAGTGCTTTAAAATATAATATAGTATAATAAAGTAATAGATAGTATTTTAAAATAGAATATAGTATTATAAAGTAATAGTATTATTAAATACAATGTAGTCTAATAAAGGAATAAATACTTTTAAATAGAATATAGTATAATAAAGTAATAGATAGTATTTTAAAATAGAATATAGTATTATAAAGTAATAAATAGTGCTTTAAAATATAATATAGTATAATAAAGTAATAGATAGTATTTTAAAATATAATATAGTATTATAAAGTAATAGTATTATTAAATACAATGTAGTATAATAAAGGAATAAATAGTATTTAAATATAATGTAGTATAATAAAGGAAAAAGCAGCATTTTTAAATATAATATAGTATCATAAAGGAATAAATAGTATTTTTTAATATAATGTAGTATTATAAAATAAATTAGCCTTCTGAGAACACACTATACTCTAGTATTTTTAAATACAATATAGCATTATAAAGTATTATAAATTTATATAGTATTATATAGCATCATAAAGTATCATAAATCGTATTATAAAATATTATAAACTTATTATGAAATAAATCAGCCCTCTGAGAACCTGGGGTCAGATTCCTCATCCCTGCCAATCCAACCGCCCCCAGCTTCCCCTCCGTACCTCTAGCTTCTTCATGGCCTCCTCCTTGTCCAGTGCCACCTGCTGCTTGGGGACAGGCCCGGGGGTCCCTGGGGGGGCACAGGGCAGGGTCACCCCCAGGGGACAATGGGGACACAGAGATGGGGACAGGGCGGGGTCACTCACGGGCCTTGCGCGGCCGCCGCACGCGGATCTTCAGCTCCCGCGGGAGCCGCCGCCAGTCTGGGGGGGCAAAATTGGAGCAAAATTGGGGTTGGGGGGACCCCAAAAAACCCCACGTGCCCCCCAGGACCCCCCCCCCCCCCCCCGTGTCCCCTCCTGTGTCACCCACCTGGGTTCCAGTCGATGGCGTTGTCCACGGGGCTGGAGAGCTGGTACTTGTCCGAGTAGCGCTCGATGTCTGCGGGGACACGCGGGGATTTGGGGACATTTTGGGGGGATTTGGGGACATTTTGGGGGATTTGGGGATACTCTGGGGGGGATTTGGAGACATTTTGGGGGATTTAGGGACACTCTGGGGGGGGATTTGGGGACATTTTGGGGGATTTGGGGATACTCTGGGGGGGATTTGGGGACATTTTGGGGGGATTTGGGGACATTTTGGGGGATTTGGGGACATTTTGGGGGGATTTGGGGACATTTTGGGGGATTTGGGGATACTCTGGGGGGGGATTTGGGGACATTTTGGGGGATTTGGGGATACTCTGGGGGGGATTTGGGGACATTTTGGGGGGATTTGGGGACATTTTGGGGGGATTTGGGGACATTTTGGGGGATTTGGGGACATTTTGGGGGGATTTGGGGACATTTTGGGGGATTTGGGGATACTCTGGGGGGGGATTTGGGGACATTTTGGGGGATTTGGGGATACTCTGGGGGGGATTTGGGGACATTTTGGGGGGATTTGGGGACACTCTGTGGGGATTTGGGGACATTTTGGGGGATTTGGGGATACTCTGAGGGGGATTTGGGGACATTTTGGTGCGATTTGGGGACATCCCAGGGGGATTTGGGGACAGCCACCCCCGATGGATGATGGCATGAGGTGGTGCAGCTGGGGGGAATAAAATGGGAATAAAACGGGGGGGAAAAAAATGGGAATAAATAACGGGGGGATAAAATGGGAGGGAAAAATTGGGAGGGATAAATAAGGGAGGGATAAAATGGGGGAATAAAATGAGGAATAAATAATGGGAGGGAATAAAATGGGGGGAATAAAAAACGGGAATAAATAATGAGGGGATAAAATGGGAGGGATAAATAATGGGAACAAATAACAGGGGGATAAAATGGGGAAGAGAATAGGGGAAATAAAACGAGGGAGAATAAATAATGGGCGTATAAAATGGGGAAAAAGAGTGGGGGGAATAAAACAGGGGGAATAAATAATGGGAATAAAATGGGGGGATAAAAGGGGGGGAATAAAATGGGAGGATAAAACGGGGAGGAAGAAAACAGGGGGGATAAATGGGGGGAATAAATAAATAATGGGCATATAATGGGAATAAAATGGGGTGAATTAAAATGGAGGGAATAAAATGGGGGGGAATATAACAGGGGGGATAAAAGGGATGGGAATAAATAATGGGAATGAAATGGGGGGGAAAACAGGGGGGATAAAAGGGATGGGAATAAATAATGGGAATGAAATGGGGGGGAATTAAAATGGAGGGAATAAAATGGGGAATATAATGGGGGATAAAATGGGAAGGAATAAATAATAGGAATAAAAAGGGGGAAATAATATAGAGGGGAATAAAATGGGGGGAATAAATCAGGGGAAATAAATATTGGGAATGAAATGGGGGAAATAAAATGGGAGGGAATAAAATGCGGGGATAAATAATGGGAATGAAATGGGGGAAATAAAATGGGAGGGAATAAAATGGGAGGGAATAAAATGGGGAAATAAATAATGGGAATGAAATGGGAGGAATACAATGGGGGGAATAAAATGGGGTGAATACAATGGAGGGGAATATAATGGGGGGGAATATAATGAGGGGGAATAAGTAATGGGAATAAAATGGGAACGAAATGGGAATGAAATGGGAACGAAATGGGGGGAATAAAATGTGGGGGAATGTAATGGGGGGGGATAAAAGGGATGGGAATGAAACGGGAATGAAATGGGGGGAATACAATGGGGGGAATACAATGGGGGGAAATATAATGGGGGGAAATAAAATGGGAATTAAATGGGGTGAATATAAGGGGGGGATAAAATGAGGGGACAAAACGGGGGGGAATAAATAATGGGAATAAAATGGGAATAAAATCGGTGGAATAAAATGAGGGATAAAATGGGGAAATAAAATGGGGGGAAATAAAATGAGGAGAAAGAAAACAGCGGGGACAAAACAGGGGGGAATAAATAATGGGAATAAAATGGGAATTAAATGGGGGGAATACGATGGGGGGGGAATAAATGCGAATAAAATGGGAATGAAATGGGGGTGGAATAAATAATGGGAATGAAATGGGAACGAAATGGGGGGAATAAAATGTGGGGGATTACAATGGGGGGGATAAAAGGGATGGGAATGAAACGGGAATGAAATGGGGGGAATAAAACGGAGGGACAAAATGGGGGGGAATAAATGGGAATAAAATGGGGGGAATACAATGGGGGGGGCCGCAGGTGAGCTCTGGAGCACCCCCGGATCCGCAGCCTGGGGTGAGCCCCCTCCCCGCCCCGGGGGCACGCCGTTGGCCGGGCCTGGTCCCGGTGGTCCCGGTGGTGCCGGTGGTGCCGGTACCTCTGCGGGGCGCCCCCGGTTTGACGAAGTACGGGAGCCCCTTCACGGCCCGGCGCAGCTCCTGCTTCAGGGCCAGCATGTACTCGCCCTCCTCGCCCCCGGGCAGCGGCGCCGCGCGGCGCTCCAGAACCTGCGGGATGGGAGGGGAAAACATGGATATTTTATCATTGTTTTTTGGGAAATAATGAAATTAATGTTACACGGGTTATGGTAGAAATTGATGCGGTGGTAATTGTCTTACGTAGCATGTTCTAGGTTTTATATATATATAATATATACTAAATTATACCAAATTTTATCAAATTTTTATTACTCTAATGATATTGCTATTTTTATAGCAATATAATAATATTATTATCATTATATTATTGCATTATTATTTATTAATAGCATTTATTAGCATTATATTATTATTTACTATATTACTATATTATTATATTATGTATTAGTAGTATTTATTAGTATTATATTATTATTTATGGTGTTATAATATCCTTATACTATTATAGAACTTGTTGTCATTATTTATTGTTAGTGTTTATTATTACGATATTATTTAATATATTGTAATATTATTAGTAGTAGTACGTATTAGTATTATATCACTATTTATTGTACTATTATATCATTATAGTATTATATAATTTATTATCATTATTTATTAGTAGTATTTATTAATATATTATTTAATATACTGAACTATTAATTATCAGTATTATTACTACATTATTTAATATAATGAAGTACTATTATTATTGTTGTTATTATTTTCCTATATTTATTTCCTAATATTATTTTCCTATTATTATTTATGACTATGTATTAGTATAATATTATTATATCGTTATACTGTTATATCATTTATTATAATTATTTATTGTTAGTATTTATTAATAATATATTATTTAATTTATAAACAATAACAACGAAATAGTAATAATAATAGTAATAGTAATCGTAATAGTAATAATAATAATAATAATAATAATAATAATAATAATAATAATAATAATTCCCTATTATTATTTTCCTATTAAACTTTTACAATTTTAAAACCAACTGATCGGGGTTTCCCCCCGGGGGCCGCGTTACCGGAGGACTCACCGGGAAGAGCGGCGCTGGCTGCAGGGTGGGCGGCGGCAGCGCGTCCCCCTTGCCGATGCCCAGGGCCTCCACGTTAAACGTCATCTGCCCCCGGCCCCGGCCGCGGCCGCGGCCCGCCATGGCGACCCCGGCCCGCTGGGGACAACCGGGGACACGGTGGCACCGCCGCTCCGCCCCCGGTGCCGGTGATGCCCCGAGTGCCCCTCGGTCCGGTCACGGTGTGTATGTAACTCACCCGGTCCCGGTTATCCCCGGTGTCTTTTCTTTCCCCTCTCCCCAAAGCTCACTGATCCCCAAAGCCGGTGCTGATCCCAGTCCCGGTGGCCCTCCCGGGGCCGGTGTCCCCTCGTATCCCGGTCCCGCTGTCCCCTTGTACCCCCGGTCCCGCTCCCGATATCCCCTCGTACCGCCGGTGCCCGGTGCCGATATCCCCTCGTACCCCCGTTCCTGGTCCCGAAATCCCTCCGGTTCCGGTCCCGATATCCCCTCGTACCCCGGTCCCGAAATCCCTCGGTTCCGGTCCCGATATTCCCTCGTACCCCAGTCCCGGTCCCGCTCCCGATACCCCTCATACCCCGGTCCCAGTCCCGATGCCCCCTCGTACCCCGGTCCCGAAACTCCTCCGGTCCCGGTCCCGATATCCCCTCGTACCCCGCTCCCGGTGTCCCCTCGTGCTCCCGGTCCCGCTCCCGGTGTCGCTCCCGGTACCGGCCCCGCTCTGCGCAAGCGCAATCACTCCCCACGTGTGCGCGGCCGCCGTGGCCCCGCCCCGCGCGCAGGAGGCGGAGCTTCGGCGCAAACCCCGCGCTGATTGGCTGCTCAGAATGAGGGGCGGGGCTTAAAGGGGTCCACCGGAGGGGGCGGGGCCGGGGCGCGGGGTGGGAACGGGGGGGATCCAAAAGGGGGATGGAAAATGGATGAAAAATGGGTGGAAAACGGGATCAAAAATGGATTAAAAGGGGATGAAAAGGAGATGAAAAAGTCCCTCGGCCCCCCACTCCCAGACCCCCCAGCCCCTCTGCCCCGGGGTAGCTCGGCCCCCGGTACCGGTGCCACCGCAGCCCTGCCATGCTGTGCCCCCCAGTCCCGCTGCCCACTGCCCCCAGCCCCACTGTAGGACCCCCCAGTCCCGCTACCCCCATGTCCTCCCCCAATTTTCGATGCTCCAGGGCCCTCAGCCCCTCCATTCCCGCTGCCCCTCGATCCTGCTGAGCTGCGTCCCCCGGTCCCGCTGCCCCCCGGGCCCCCGAAAGCCCCCGGTGCCCCCCAACCCCCGGTCCCCCCCCGTCACTCCCACGCAGGGCCGGGCTCTGGATGCGCCGTGGCTGATTCATCCCGCTCCAGCCCCCCCCGCGCCCGCAGCTGCCAAAAATAGCGCTGCGGGAGGGGGGGACCCTCCACAGCATCTCCCGCCCCCCCCGCCTCACCGGCGGCAGGCCGGGATGGCGGCCACGGGCCGCTGCCCCCGACAGCCCCATCCCCGGGGCCGCGGGAACCGGGACGAGCGAGCCCCCGCTCCGGTTGGCACGGTAAAACGGGGATGGAGAGGGGCGGGATGGGGGGGTCCCTGCGGAGAGGGGGGGTGAGGGGACAGCCCCCAGGCCCCGGGGGGGTCTCACGGAGGGGACCGGGAGGGTTCTCCCCCGTTTTACCGGCTGGTCGGAGCGGGATGAGCGGCTGTCGCCATGGGAACCGGGCAGGCAGGGATCGGGGTACCGGAAAGGATCGGGGTACGGGCAGGGATGGGGGTACAGGCAGGGATGGGGGTACCGGGAAGGATGTGGTACCGGCAGGGATGGGGATACCGGGAAGAATGGGGGTACACGCAGGGATCGGGGGTACCGGTGGGGATGGCGCTGTGGGCAGGGATGGGGGTACCGGGAAGGATGGGGTACCGGGAATAATGGGGTGTGGGCAGGGATGGGGGTACCGGGAAGGATCGGGGTACCTGCAGGGATGGCGCTGTGGGCAGGAGAATCAGGTGGGGCAAAGGGAGGAGAAGGAGGAGGATGAGGAGGGGGCGCAGGAAGGCATTTGAAGAATGGGATTTGGGGGTGCAGGCACAGCCTGGCGAGCTCGGGAACCCTCATTTACTGGGGAAACTGAGGCACGGAGAGGGGACACCCCATCCTGGGGGTCTCACCGCACCGTCTCCCCTCGCAGTGAGCGAGCGCCACCCGCACCCCCCGTGAGCCCGGCCATGCCCAGCGCCGCGGTGCCCCCGGGGGCGCTCCCCATGATCCCGGCCGAGGGCTCGGCGCTGCTCCGCGCCGTCTCCCAAGGGAAATTCCGCCTGACCCGCCTGCTGCTCGAAGGGGGAGCCTACATCAACGAGGGCAACGCGGCGGGCACCACGCCGCTGATGGCAGCGTGCCGGGCCGGCTACGCCGAGCCCCCCGAGCAGCCGCGCATGGTTCAGTACCTGCTGGAGAACGGCGCCGACCCCAACATCCCCGACAAGGCGGGCAGAACCGCGCTGATGCACGCGTGTGCCGAGCGAGCCGGCCCCGCCGTGGTCGCCACGCTGCTCGCCCACGGCGCCGACCCCAGCGCCCGCGATTACGGCGGGGGCTCGGCGCTGGTTTACGCCCTGGAGCGGGGGGACCGGGAGACGCTGCAGGTGCTGCTGGACGCGTGTCGGGAGCGAGGCCGCGATGTCATCATCATCACCTCGGCCACGTCGCCCCGAGGCACCAAGACCACCCGGCAGTACCTGAACTCGCCGCCCTCGCCCGCTCTGTGCGCGTCCCCGTCGCAGGTGCAGGTGCGGGCGGCGGCGGCGTCGCCGGGGGCCGGCGGGAGGGATGAGGAGCGCGATGTGTTCCGCTTCCCTCCCGCCGCTCCCGCCGCTCCGGAACCGGCCCGGGCCGGGCCCAAGCGGCAGCTGAAAAGGCTCAACTCGGAGCCGTGGGGGCTGGCGGTGGAGGGGATGCGGGGGGGACACTCGGAGGGGACGCAGGGACCCGCAGAGGGAGCACGGAGAGCGTTAGATGAGATACGGGGACACCCGGAGGGGACGCGGGGACCCTCGGAAGGGTCGTGGGGCTCTCCTGAAGGGACATCGGGCCCTCAGGAGCAGCTGGCAGCAGGGCTGGAGGGGCTGCGGCTGCGCCCCCGCCGGCACAGCGTGGAGGGACGCGATGTCTCGGGGCTGCCCGGAGCCGCCTGGGCAGAGCGGGTGCCCCCCGTGCCCGCCCCGGGGCGCTGGGTTCCCCCCGATCCTCCACGGGGCAAACCCCTACGCCGGGACCCCCCCAACCCCGAGCTGGGCGCCGCTCCCGGGCCGCTGCGGTCCCCGGCGGGGCTGCTGGAGCGCCGCGGCTCCGGGACGTTCCCGCCGGAGCCCCCGGGCCGGGCGGGGCTGCTGCCGCCGCTGCCGCCCCGAGCGCTGCTCCGCCGCCACTCCATGCAGCCGGAGGCGCTGCGGAACCTCGGGGCTTTCTGCGGGGGGCTGGGACCCGAGCCTGGCTCTTAGGGACCCCCCCCCTCAAAGCCAGGACCCTTTGGGGAAAGCCTCGCCCTGCTCTGAACCCTGCTGAGGGTGAACCTTCCATCCCTGTGTCGGCACAAACTGCACGAGCCCCAACTTGGGGAGCTGGTGGGGGCACCCCAACTGCCAGGGCCCCCCCAGGATCCCCCTCCTGCTCCTGCCTCATCCTCCCAGCAGCTTTTTCCCCCGGGGTATGGGGTTAAAGGCCCCAGTGTAGCTCAGTGGATGTGAGTGAGGGTGTTGGGCACATCTGTGGGGTTGGGGGCACAGCTGTTGCATCCCAATCTCAGTTTTAAGGGAAAAAAGGAGTTTTTTTGAGATCTGAGTTGTTCTACTGCCAGGCTGGGAGGGATCCCCAGGATCCTTGGGGATCCAGCAGCTTGGATGGAGAAGGGTTTTAGGGAAAGGGGCTTGGGAGCTTTAATGAAGGACAAAGAACAAGGAGACAAACTTAGACAAAATCTTGTTATTTGACACAAAACAAGGAATGCCCAGTGGGATAAATACCATGGGAGATTCACAAACCATTTGCCTGGAGCATGGAAAAAAAAAAACTCCCAGGATATTCTGGGATGGGGAGCTGGGAGGGATCCCCCCAAACCCAAGGGAAATCCCCCCCAACCCTCCGAAACTGCTGCTTCCCTCATACTCGTCCTTTGAAAACAATAAAATTCCATAAAACCCACATTTCCCCGGGGGATGGAGCTGGCCTGGCTCCTCCAGGCTGTGTACAGAGCCCAGTTTGCCACCAGTTTGGAGGTGGAACATCAATGGGAGGAGGTTTGGATCCATCATCGGCGGCGCCGGTCCGGGCTGCGGCTCCGCCGGCGGCCGCCCCTGGAAAAGAGGGAAAAGTGGGGAAGGGAAAGGGGAAAAAAAGGGGAAAAAAAAAGGGAAAAAATAAGGGAAAAAAAGGGTGAGGGAATGGGGAATGTAAAGGGGGAAAGGGAAGGAAGGGGGAGGGAAGAGGAAAAAGGGAGGGAAAAGAGGAAATGAGAGGGGAAAATTGTACAGGAAATGGGGGAAAGGAGAGGGAAAGGGGTGCAGGAAATATGGGAAGGGGAAATCAGAGGAAAAAGGGTACAGGAAATAGGGGAAAGGAAAAGGGGAATAGGAAATGGGGGAAAGGGAGGGAAAAGGATGCAGGAAATGAGGAAAAGGAAATGGAAGGGAAAAGGCACAAGAAATATGGGAAAGGAGAGGGGAAAGGGTACAGGAAATGGGGGCAAAGGAGAGAAAAGGGGAAAGGAAAGGGAAAAGGGAGGAGAAAAGGTATGGGAAAGGAGATGGAAAAGGGGAAAGGAAATTGAGGAAAAGGAAAGGAAAAAGGTACAAGAAATATGGGAAAAGGGGGGGAAAGGGTACAGAAAATGGGGGAAAGGAAAGGGGAAAAGGTACAAGAAATATGGGAAAGGAGAAGGAAGAGGGTACAGGAAATGAGGAAAAAGAAAGAGAAAAGGGAAGGAAAAAGGTACAAGAAATATGGGAAAGGGTGGGAAAAGCGTACAGGAAATGGGGGAAAAGGAAGGAAAAGGGGAATAGGAAATGGGGGAAGAAAAGGAAAAGCGGGGGAAAAGGGTACAGGAAATGGGGGAAAGGGAAGGAAAAGTGTACAGGCAATGGGGGAAAGAAGAGGGAAGGAAGAAGTTCAAGAGAAGAACATTTTGGGGTGTTTATTCCTATTTTAACCCCGCCACCCCCATAACAGTGCACAGAATCCCCCCATTCCCCTCGCCCACATGTCCCTCCCATTGCCAGCTCCTGGAATTCCCAGGATTTCCTCACCTCCTCTTGCCCTTGGGGGGGCCCCTGACGAAGCACCAGTCCACGCTGACCGGCTGCCCCATGAGCTCCTGCCCGTTGAGCCCCTCCATGGCCGCCTGCGCCTCCTTGTACGTCTCGTACTCCACCAGCGTGTAACCCTGGGGGAACGGGGCACAGCGGGGTTGGCAACGGGACAGACACCAGGGGAACCCGGGTTTGGGGTGCATGGACCCCCTGACACTTTGGGTTTAGGATTGGGAATGAGAGAGACACCAGGGGAATGCAGGTTTGGGGTGCACAGAGCCCCTGACTGCCCGGGATTAGGATTGGGAATGGGACAGGCACCAGGGGAACTCGGGTTTGGGGTGCATGAACCCTCTGACACTTCGGGTTTAGGACTGGGAACGAGCCTGGACACCAAAGGAACTCCCAGCTCAGGTTTGGGGTGCACGGACCCCCTGACACTTTGGGTTTAGGATTGGGAATGAGAGAGACACCAGGGGAACTCGGGTTTGGGGTGCATGGACCCCCTGACACCCCAGGTTTAGGATTGGGAACGAGCCTGGACACCAAAGGAACTCCCAGCTCAGGTTTGGGGTGCAGAGACCCACTGAGACCCCAGGTTTACGATTGGGATTGAGCCCAGCTCAGGTTTGGGGTGCACAAATCCCCTGACACTGCAGGTTTAGGACTGGGAATGACACAGACACCAGGGGAACTCAAATTTGGGGTGAAAGGACCCCCAACACCCTGGGTTTAGGATTGGGAATGAGCCCAGCTCAGGCTTGGGGTGCACAAATCCTCTGACACCCCAGGTTTAGGATTGGGGTGCATGGACCCCCTGAGACCCCAAATTTAGGATTGGG